GGCTACCACTGTCATTCTTATCGGACAATAAAAAGACAAACAGGCTTTGATACTGTAGCCTCTACCTCTGTTCAGGTAGACGAATCTCAGAGGATGTGCTCGCACGCACATGGATAAACCTGCTTGAGACAACCATGAGGCTACCGTGATATCCAACCGTTCCTAAAGTTTGGGATGAATGTTGCAGTAGTCTGATGCACCATTAGGTTATTACTTGTAGAAAATAAACACAATCTATGATTGTTCAAAAATCGTGCTTGTAAAACCATGTTTGATCGGTTTAGCTCTACCAGGGTCAAATGTAAACTACCATATTGACCTTGACCACGAGGGCAAATATTGTGGTAGCTAATTGGTGTGATGTAAGTTACCTGGTGCGTATGTGTTCCTTAGGATTGGTAGAATGAAGTTGATAATTATTGTGCAGTGGCCCTGCGTGCGATCATGAAAATATTGTTCACTTATATCCTGTTAAGTTATCCTGCTGATAGACGGCTCTATCGTCGTCATTATCTCGCCTAATCTATTGGAACCCTATGTGGTCCGTCACTCCAAGTTTCAGGATCATGGTTACTTTCTCACAACATAAACATAGTAATACACGCTCTCTCGTTCGCTCTACTCACTCGCAACACAAACACGCATTCATCACCCTCACCAATATTCTCGGACCGAACTGTACACCAGTTGCTCTATTCTTCTTCTCCTCTCGCCATTTTTGGACCGAAACGCAAATCTCCTCGTCAGACAGCAACGCTTTCAAGTCCCCAACTACACTTCCCACCCATCCTTTCTACCCAAAGCTAGTGTCTGCGTCTTTATCCTCCATCAATCACCGTTTCCAGAATCCAAAATCTCAACTTTCCCAATCTCGAATTTCAGCTGATGTGGCTGAAGCTACGAATCCCTTTTTCAACCATTAATTTTGTGTTGTTCCATATGGGTTCCCCTCCCCCAATCGTATCGACTCCCCCATCTTTGAACATTGAACACTTGTTGCGATCGACCCCAATGGTCATTTTGCTGTCTTCGGAGATTTCAGTGTTTTTAATCAGGGATGGTTGACACATTCATTTGCTACTTCTCTAGGTCGGAAAGCCGAACATTTCGCCTTGCTCTACAACCGGAGCCAACTAAACCTTTTCCCATCAAGCTTTAGCCAAAACCCGCAATCCTTCAGCTAAAATCCACAATGCTTAGCTACGACCCGTAAACCTTTAACCTCGGCACAAAAACTTTAGTCATGCTGCTATGGACGAGTCAAATCAAAAAGTATCGGAGGTAAGTGAATGCTGAGACATTTGATTTTCTACAAATGCTGATGTTGCAAAGCTTAGTTAAGAAATGACAAGGTGTGGCGATCACCTGCTGCACGACATGATAATTGGAGAAGGTTTAAGCGATGTGCCCGTATCGTCAAACCATTTGCCACATCTTGTATCGCTTCAGTGTTTTCAGTGGACAAGTGCTAAATAGTAAGCGAATTAAGGAATCAAAAACGCTAACGTGTTTGATTTTACTGAAGACCTCTTCCGGCGGGTTAAAAAAAGGACCGTATGGTGGAAAAAATCGAATGTGGTGGTTGGCGCGTAGTTGCTCATCCCGAGCCCCTTCGATGATCGAGCGCATTGTCGAAGTTAAAAAAACTGGAACTTCTGGTTACTCACTAGTGTTTAACGTGGAACAGCTGGATAGAACCCCATTGGAAATATGCCAGGTANCCTTTGTAGGACATTCATATTTCAAGATATCAGCCACAACTGAACATGCTGTTGTGTTCAAGTTGGGTCTTTGCGGAATGTGAGACTTCGAATGGCTTTACAGCCCACTTGGGAGCGTCAATAGATAGTATTATATATTGTTGTTGGTATCGTCAACATACAGCCTTAGTGTTGCGTTACCCGATCGCTGTAACCAATCGGGACGTTCCGCTTGTTTTACTTTAACGGTTTCTGAGTTTCGTTCCATGGGTTGAATGATCAGCTTCTTAGCCGAATAGCAATGTCCATCCAACAATCGATCGATTGAAGACTTGTTGACTGATGTTCCCAAGAAGTCCTTTCCCATTCTCTCCTTCAATTGTTTCAACGTGGTTGTAGGATTTTCATCGTCTCTGTAACACAAATGTCTTTAGTTAATTTTGCCTTTTAAGATCCAGATTTGAGGGTTATCTCTCGATTCGTAGCTGCAGTTGCACGACATATTCTTATCTTGATGCTGAGGTGTTTTGCAACTTCTTTCAAATCATCACCCCTGCGTGCTTATTCAATTACTCTCCGTCGGTCTTCCGGACTGGTGAAGCGATGGAACCTTTTCTGTTTATCCGATTTAGAATTCGCCATATTGCATATGCGTGTAAAATTAAGTTAGGTACAACAAATATTACTACCGCATGTCGTAGTGTGTTGTTAATCCGACTAATCGACTGCCGCATGACGATACTACAAGGAAAATTGGATATACTAAAAGGCTAAAGGATTGCGAGGTTTTGCTAAAACTGGATGGAAAAAGGTCTAGTTGACCTCCAGCGCGTGTCGAGCTGACGACCATGCCCCCCACATCCTCGATTTAATTCTCACGTAGGTCCCTTTTTTCTTTTCCTATATTTCTACTCCCTCTCTACTTGTCCCATCAGATCACTGAATCGTTTCTTGCTCCACTAAGTTTACTTACACCGATCCGCCACTTACCTTGAGACACAAATTCTAGCGCTACAATTCAGCCAACTGGGCCGGTTTTTGTTAGTTCCTAGCTTGTTATCTTTGGAAAGATTGTTGTTTCTCTTCAAACGTTTTCAAATCTGGTTCCAACTTGACCGAGATTGTTTTTCTAGTTCTGTATCTTTGTATTCCGCACTTTTCCAAATCCGGGAAACCCCAATTACCCGAGTGGTTTAACTACGCATATGATCGTGGTGTGCACCTGAAACGCTGTCTTTTGCCGCTGGTGCCGCTCGCCCATTCCAAACACCCACTATCGCTTCGTGCAAGTTCGGAACAGATGCTCGTTAAGTGTTCAGGAAACCGAAAGACGCTTCGTCCACTGTGTAGCCGAAAATTTGAACCTTTCCCCCACCGGTAGCCAACCATTTTGGTCACCTGTCAAAGCCATTTTCTGTAATCTCTACCCTGCCAATTTCCTCACATGCTTGCTCCTGTTCTACGTCGTCTTTTCAGTCTTTCTCTTTAATTTGCCACTTTTTTAATTCATTAGAAACACACCGTGAATTTTCTCATACCCAAACTCGGCGATCTTTCTGATCCCAACAATTACCGACCCATTTACCTCACATATCCTCTTTCAAAGTATTTAAAACCATTATGTCCGACCGATTACGCGTGTTCCTCGAACACGAAAGACTACTGAGTGACCGCCAGTATGCCCTCCGGCAGCGTCATTCCAACGGTGACCTACTGGCTCTTATCTCAGTCCTGATTTGCTGCCCTCGGTAACCACGGAGAATCATGCTTGGTCTCACTGGCTATCCCAAAGGCCTTGGAATAAGTTTGGCACAATGTCTACTGACGAAACGGCCCATGTTCGGTTTCCCTCCAGCTCTCGTTTTGCTGGTACCCTTTTAGGTCAGCTTGCTTCTCGCGCTGTGCGCTAGGTTTTTTAAAAATTCCGCTTCAGATGCTTTACCCCATCTCATCTGCTGTGCAAAGTTCATATCCACCCTGTAGTCACACGTGAGGTGGGGCTTCGTCTTTCTCTCTGTCCCTATTTGATGGTGTCAGCGAAGGTTATCTGGCCAATCTGAAGTCACTAACCCATCGTCGGGTAGTTGCCTCATTATCCCTGCTCTAGCGTTACTATTTTGTTTTGTTCTTCGGAGCTTCACTCGACAGCCCCTTCCTGTAACTTTTGCCCGCCCATCCCGCTCATAGGCATCAGATTTCGATCACCAGAGGTCGTAATTCCCTACTTTATTCGTCTGTTTTCACCGAACTGCTAAGCTATGAAACACCCTACTGCTTTCTGTCTCCCTCAACTCATAACCTCACATCTTTTGAACGCAGAATTAATAAGGTGGATCTTTCTTGAATGCCCCCCTCTTACAATATGCCCGTTTACTATGGGCATCTCCTCTTTTACTCTAACCCACATTATGTGTAGTGAAGATCAGCCGATCAGTGTTGTTTCGATATTTTCCCGGTCAAATGAAAGATAAATTGATAAAATTTCGTATTTTGGATTCTCATTCTATTGTCATGCGTATTTTCGAAAATTGTGGTACGCGTGCTTGCAGTAGCGGAGATCAGCCAAAAGTCTAGTGCTGGAGGGTTGTTGGTTAGGTGCATTACTTCTGCTGCGGGTCTCATTTCATCAGCAGTTGTTCTCTAGGTTAAGATGCACAGGAAAAGCAACGTTTTGGGGGTGGAGCGGTCGGCATTGAGGTTTGATGTCCTTCCTTATGCAATGTTTTTATCCAATTCGAAACTGCTTAATTCCTCTTCCTTTTTTCCCTCATCAGTTTTCCCTTTCGGTGTGTTGGACGATATCATCAATACGGATCGCTCAGGTTGACTATGTTCAACGCTTTATTTTTTCTTTCTCTTACCGAGGCATGCTCGAGGCGATTCACACTGATTCGGTGCATTTTTCTGTGCGATCCAATCCACTAGTTATGTAGATAAGTGTATAGCTAGTTTCTTTTTCCGTTGCTTCATTGTTGACAACTTTTCCCTCGTTCTCGTCCCACTTTTTCACCGTCGCCGTTCGCACATGTGAGTCGCATCGCATTCCTGTCGGTGATCATTCATCAGCCGCATCTGTGATCTGTTCGACCGGTTGGTTTGTATGATAAATCGGACGCACCTAGACAGACTGGTCCTTGACAGTTTTATTTGCTCGGAGTAAATATTCGGCTGATTATTTCCATTGTTGCTTTGCTCATTGGTATGAAATGATATCTCCTCCGTTTCATAAGTTTCTCCTGTGCTACAAAGAGGTTCACAACTGATTTGTGCATCGGTTACTTTCTTTTTCGCCAAACCTAGGCCCGATGCTCAACGAAAAGGATAAGAAATCACGAGTCTGGGGTCGTTCCGGATGGCCGAGCTCGTAAGTCTTTTTTGATTATATAGTCCACAAATATAAGTTATATTCTTCACTTTGGCTGACCTCTATGAAAAATCAACCGTGGTACTTTTTATTCAAAGGTTAAAAACCCTTTGAATTGAGTCACATAATTTGTGATGCTCTACGTTTCAGCTCTTTAGCACAATGTCTGTTTCTTTGGGATATTTACTATTCTGTCCGATTCTTTAATCTATGGTTTGACTACGAGTAGTTATTGTTGTACAACAATAGAAAATACCGCAGTTCGATGTTTGCAATCCGATTGTCTTTTCACGTATTTGTGAGGTGCACAGCTGGGCGCACTTATTCGGAAAAACCAATCGTGACCAGTCTTTACGATGTCTTTATGATGAGACTGAGGTTGGATGCTACCATCCAAACGCAATTAAAATATCTCTTCAGGAGAATATTACACAATAAGTGGTATTTAAATGCCTCGACGAAAGTTTCTTTGAGCAACATGCGGTTTCTTTCGCGGTTTTCGCCATTCTTCAAGTACCTTTATTCGGTTGCAAATTTAAATTGTGAAGGGAATACGCAACCTGGGCAATAGTGTGTGAAGAAACTGAAAAAGAATGGACTAGGAGTAACAACCATAAAACCGATCGTGTACTTCTAGGTAGGTCTATTCGTTCAGATGACATTATCATCATCATCGTACAGCGGAATACAGTAAAGCGAACTTCACTGATTGCTGCCAAACTCGCAATGCATACACGGTTAATGATAATGTGTAAGGTGGACAGAGACTGGACCTATTTTGAGGAAGGGGAAAGAGAGTAAACCTGTGGTCGACAACAAGAGTGCAACATCTAACTGGTTATAAATACTCCTTTCAAGCATTCTGACCTGATAAAAAATGACAATGCCGTATCTTTCAATGTCTCCAACCAACCAGTTGTGGAGTCTTTCGAACCTCAACCTGGAAGGTGCGAAACACCTATTGTACATAATAGCGACGTATTTCGTCATGCCCTTTCTCCACGGAGTTTCTTCCAACCGGGACCGGTTAAATCGAATAAAGTGCGGTGCGGTAGACAACAGCTGGGCATACGCAATACGTGCCCTAGCCAGCGAAGCCTACTAGTCTGAATTCGATGGGCTATCAAGTTTTTCGCAGCCAAACTCCCAAGCACATGACGGCTTATCTCCAGATCACTAACCCGTTCGAGCTAATTAGTTCCTTGCAGACCCTCATTTGTCTAGAGGTATGTGAGCACAGTGACCTCAGTAAGTTAACGTACTTCTGGGACATTCCTTTTCGAAGAAGTGAATCCGTTAGAGCTTCGCGGTCAACTGAGTCGAAGGCTCCTTTCAGGCTAAGTAGCATTGCAATCGTTTGTCGACGGTGGGTCTGATACAGCTCAAGGCGCTGACGCAACCTAAAAATTTGATCAATTCATCCTCTACCCGGCTGGAATCTGGCTTGCTGTTCACAGATATTGGTCTCTCCTAATGACGTCAGATGTTGAAGTATGACTTACGCTAACTCTTTGATGACGATTAGGATCAAACTTATCCCGCGCTGGTTTGTACAGGGCTAATTAAGCTTCATTCAGATAGTACTTTGTCGGTATGCATATATCCACTTCACACAATGCACACCTAATCATTCCGTGCGAAAACCGAGTGGATGCATTGTGTTCTGAAGTGCTAACTATTTGGTACAGTTATATTGTCGGCAAATATTGGGCTTTCCAAAACGCGTTTCTCACGATGCAAGAAGGCCTGAATTTGATGCCACGAGGGAGTTCCGCGATGACTAAGGGGTGGTGTTTCCCCAAAGTTATAAAATAATAAGAAAACCGGTGATGTGAAACCAAAATCATTCAGCATTGGGTGTTCGAAGTTGGAAAAAGTTACTGATTATTGGGAGTTGAACGCATCTATGCGGGACACGGGGATCGGTTCGAAGGATTTATAAAGGATTTTTCAACCAGGCGGATAGTCACAAGGCCTCTTGGCAAACGCATCTGCTTGTCACATCACTCTCGGACTACTGTTGGTCTGAACAACACGCTCACTATTTCCTGGTTTGTGTGCTTTTTATTGCACGATAATAAGTTCTGTATAGTTCTCATAGCTCTCATTTGGAGCAGTAAATGCAGCATACCAATGAAACTGACGGGTTCGACAACTTATCGGCCCTTTGGAATGTTTTTAATTCACCAGTACAGGGGGTAATAAAAGTGATACGGCAGACTGTGCAACTCTTTTCCCACGTGTGGAATGACTCGCTATAGTTTGACACCTTAGAAATCCTCCACTGGCACGTGAAGAATGATGCTACCGGATTGCGAATAGAATCTGTAGTCAGCTGTGCGGTTTCTGGCTGAACCGGATAATTTTCATTCTCTATCAACCATGCGATAAATGGTGTTCATTCCCCAGTTTAAAGTGAGAAACGCTGCACTAACTCTTTTCCGAGCAACTTTCGATTGTGTCATAAAAACGACTTGGCAAGGCATGTGTTGAGGTATTACATACAACATGTGATCAAATAATTATACTTGACTCCACTTTTGAGAGTGGATCTTCTGCCTCAAAAAACTGAAAATTAAATCTGTTCAACATGCTCGTGGTGGGTGATGCATCTGTTTCAACTATGTGACAAAATCGTGTAGTATGATGAAAGGTTTCACGGACGAATGATAAGGGGGAACGGCGAGAGTCGGGAAATCGGACATAGATACGCCAACGCTGTAGACTGGTTAGGTCTCTGTGGGGAGCTATTTGGTTTATTGGAGCAAGTGGACTGGTTTTCACCATCGGAATCATAACCGGCTTGATACTGAATGGGCAGTCCGAAACACTGATAGAACACGAGCCAACCGTTGTTGTCCAAGAAAAAAGACAACACTGGAACATTGCTTTATCGCTCCACACTATATGATAACATTTTGTCCCACACACCGGTGACGTCAACGCATTGGCGTAGATCATGTTAGGAATCTCTACCGGTCGCCGTGTATTCAGATCACTATTGTTTAATATCCTTCTAGGCGTGCGTTATGGACCTATCAAGTCAAATCTCCGTTTTCAGTACGTTGAGGTTACAAACCAGTTAATCCGTAGACCTTGGGATGTATTTCCTTCGTACAAAAGAACGTCCGTTAGCACGTTTTAAGATTAATTGTACTCAATTTCAATAAAGGCCAGTTAAATGACGCTCACAGAATTCTGTTGTGTGTAATATGTTCCGATGGATTAGAATTCTGTTTTCTTTTTAACCAGCATAATATAGATGCGGAATACAGTCTCACTGTTTCCAAGGTTCACACAAACCGCAACAAGGTGCATCTGCCCCAGAACCAAATAGAGCGCAGTAAATGGCCACTTCCTGACTGTGGGTATCAAGAAGTGATTTTTTTTATGCTCATCCTGTGGACACAGATGGGATGAACCCCCTAGTCGCGAAGACCTGCTTGCTATTCGATGATAAAAACCGGTAACCTAAGCCTCAGGACTTAGACTGGCGAACCACACACGGTCCCACTGGAATACGAATAGTATTTAACCGGAAGATAGCAAAACGCCCACCACTGAAGTTGGGTGGCGGTGGCGGGATTCAAACTTCGGACCATAGGATCCGAGGTATACCAGCAATAACGACAAAATCAGTAGACCACTTTCACCCTTCACCTTCTCACATCGAACAAATCCTTCAAAAAGCTTTTAATTATTTCCGATTTGAAATTCATTCACTCTTCTGTTTCTGCCTACCAATTTACGCACATTATGATCTAATTTATCGAATTTCATGTCACTTCACTCACACGGAGGATCTTGATTTTGTTTCGGAATAATCCGCCCTAATTTTTTCGTGGCCCTTCGTCGGTGTAGGCAACCACTCACTCACTCCCATACCTTAAGAGATGTATCCTGTTTGCGTCACCCATTGGATACCACTCAGTGTTCAACTAACGAGGCCAACCACTCAGAGGCTATCAGATTTTTGAAACCAAAATCTCCTTTCCACTTAGCCACATTTAATGTCCGCACACTCTATCAGTATTGGTAAACAAGCCGCCTTAGCTAGAACCCTTGAAACCTCCCATTTAGATGTGTGCTGTGCCTCCGAAGCACGCATACAAGACCCTATTTCAGTCGTCTCCTTGCGTTCTCCAGATCCAACCTCATTCCCACGCTTCACTCCTCGTGTGTCAAGCGATTTGGCATCTAAGGCTCGCGGTGTTGCGATGTTGGGATTGCGCTGAGTGTCAAGGCCGAGCGGTCACTTCTGGATTGAATCCCGGTTAACAGCCGACTTTGTGCTGTACGTCTGGATGGTTTAGTAGGAGTCAACAGCTACAGAACGAAACGTCGATGTTTATCCGTCGTATCCGCCTATGCACCGACAGATTGCAGTTCACCAGAAGTGGAGGACGAATTCTTCAAGGACCTCTCTCAACTTCTCCGAAGTGCTTGATCAACGGACATCGTGGTGGTTACTGGGGACTTCAATGCTCAAGTGGGATCCCTGGACGAATCAGAGTGGCTACTACGAGGTTCACATGCAGTTCCAGCCAACTGGACTAACAACGGAGAACGCCTACTCCAACTTTGTGCTGACCACGGACTGTTTCTGTCAAGCACGAACTTCTCGCACAAAAAGCGCCACCGTCTTACATGGAGACCGCCAATAGCTTCACAGCGCTGGACTCAAATCGACCACATCGCCATCAGTCACCGCTGGAGAGGACCCATTGAAGACTGCCGCTCCTACTGGTCAACAACCGTAAAGACGGACCACGGTCTTCTACGAGCAAGATTCTCTCTACGCCTAGTAGACAAACGCAGAAAAGCCGCCGAAAACGGATGCCCACCGACAGTTGAAAATCGCCCTTCGAGGCGAGCTATCAGATCGCCTCTCAGCACAACCGTCAACCGGAGGACTCAGTGAGCAGTGGATGGCAATCAAGGTAACGATTCAAATGTCAATCGAAAGAACAGCAAATTCTGACTCACGATAAAATAAAAAACGATGAATCTCCCCGTCTTCGGTTTTCATGTTGGACGCTCGCAAAGCCATTACTTCGGATTCAAACTACGATGTCGACCTCGGTTGCTCTGCTGGACGCCAGTAGAACCCTGCCTCCGGATGCCACATACGACCCAGCGCGCAAATCCCTTAAACACCAGCTCTTCTAAGAGTCTGAGGAATGACCGCGAGAAGTGGTGGGTAGGAAAGTGTAGAGAGATGGAGAAGGCTGCGGTTATCAGTAATAGTCGCAATCTTTTCGGATTAATTAGGAGTGCAGATCCAAAGCAGTTGTAAGTGACGTGATTAAGGATTCCGCCGGCGCACTGATCCATATTCAGCAACACTGTCTAGATCGATGAGCAGAACATTTTAAGGCTCAGTTGGGCTGCTCCCCTTCGACACAAGACCTCCGTACACTCGGTTCAACTGTGCAAATATTGTCGGTTGACATCAGTTTTCTATCTGAAATGGAGAGATTACCCGAGAAATAAGCTGCCTCAAAAGGTATAGGGTTTCCGGCCTGTCCCCATCGGTTTTTAAGGGTGGAGGTCTAGCCTTGGTTTTGGAGTTAACAAAACTCCTGGGTTCAGTGTGGGATAAGGAACAGGTTCCAACTGAATGCTGTGAATCGGTGATCATATCGATTTACAAGAAGGGCGACAGGTTCTCTTGTGAAAACCACAGGGGACTTGGTTCATTTAACATTGCCTGTAAACTTCTCGCCGGTATCATACTCCGTCGATTGTCTGCCGCACGTGAACGGTGTACTCGTGAGAACCAGGCTGGTTTTAGACTTGGTCGAGGTTGTATCGACCATATCTTCACATTTCGTAGACACACTTTTCGTAGACCCACCATTTCTGTCTTCCTCGACCTAAAAGGGGCTTTCGACTCAGTCGACCGCTCTAAACTCTGGCGCTGCCTTTCCCTGAAGGGAGTGCCCGAGAAGTTAATCGCAATATTACAATCGCTTTATGGTCATTGCCGAAGCCGAGTATGAGCTTACGGCACTTTTTCACTCGTTCACCACGGAAAGTAGTGTTCGACAGGGTTGCCCTCTCTCTCCGTTTCTATTTAACTTCGTGATAGATTCAGTTCTTGAAATAGCCCTATCCTCGTGCGAGGATAGCAGTGTCGAGTAACTCCCAGCTGGCACATTGTCTGATCTACAGTATGCAGATGAAATTGTGCCACTAAGTGGAAATACAGNCTGGGTTGGTCCAGCACCCAGTCTCATCCTAGCCGGGTAAGTAGTAGAGCAAGTGGATAAATTCTGCTATCTGGGCAGCTACATATCACCCGATGGACGCATCACAGATGAAGGTTTTGTTGTTTGGGCAGCTACATCTCACCCGGTGGACGCATCACGAATGAAGTGTCGGCGCGCACACAGAAAGGTCGGTTGGCATTTGCCAACTTGAGACATCTGTGGCGCCGTCGCGACACCCGGTTGTGTGTGAAGGGTCGAGTGTATGCTGCAGTAGTTCGACCAGTTCTGTTTCACGATGCAGAGACTTGGCCATTGCGGGAATAGGATAAAAATAGACTATCGGTGTTCGAACACCGCTGTCTACGCAGCATTGCACGAATCTGCTGGGGTAACCGGGCGAGCAATGCTGAAGTTAGGCTTAGAGTTTTAGATAATCGCGGTCGTCNCCATAGATTAGGCTGGTTGGGACATGTGCTACGCATGTCACCAGATAGGTCGCCACGGCGAGCGATGCTGGCCGAGGCAGGTAGCGGTTGGAAAAAGATGAAGGGCGCTCAAGCTGAGACCCGGTATGAGGGTATGAAAACCCTGGTCAGAAGACTGGCTCACATAGGTCCCCTTAGGCTCCCTGGCTGAGGACCCAGAGTTCATGGTCACCGGTAGTTAGAGACACTGAGTGATATGGCTGGTTGTTGGAAACAGAGGCGCTCATGCATTTACTCATTATTCTTGTAACTCCAGTCTATGAAAATGTGCTGGCTTGCGCTTAAATCTGGTGCACGAAAATGCATGGTTAATGTTTGTAAGAGCTGAAGTGGACTTAACGTAACTAATTTTTTCGTGTCGGTTATTATTCTAGAAAAACACCATCCACTTCATCTGAATGTGTGTGTGTGTGTGCCTTTCTGAACATCTACGATGGTACACCCTTTCACCGCCGACACATCATAAAATCGGTTTTCGCGTGGCTGTTCACATGGGTAAATAAGGTTCGTTTAGCCTAATGTTTACTCATACTTGCCAGCAACCAGACCATTCTTGCCACGAGTCTCTTTGCTCATTGACCTGTTTGACTGTTGGAAATCAGAACAGATCTTCAGTCATCCACTCAGGTTCGCATTCCACCGCCTAATCACTGGAGAGACGAATCAATATGTGACATTCGTCGAATGTATTCTCTGACTACCTTAGCGACCGATTTATTCTCAAATAGAAAAAAAAATGCACATGTATATAAATCCAAACCGCCTTGTTCTCTGTTTTTCTCTCTCTCTCTCCTCTCCTTCGAACAGACGACGACGGTCCATAGTTGAACGTTTCCAGCGTAATCGTTTCATGTCCTTGGCTCTGACTCGCACAGCTAGTAATCCAGATGATCTGTATGTCCAGCACTCGCTCACGCAACACACAGATACACAAAAAGCTCTAGTGAACGTATTATTATCTAACCGGGCTAATAAGGTTTTGTTTCCCTCTCTGTCTCACTCACTCATCCGACCCTTTAGCTTGTTTGTTATTTTCAATTGATCGCTCATGTTTCCGTCATCGCGTTTATTACTGACAGTTGTGCACGCACGCTTGGTCACATCTCGTCGTTCCCCTTCCGGTCCACTCACCCGCACTTTTTCTGCGCACACGCGTGACACATTGAGCTGTTAAGAATGAGTTGCTTCTATTTTTTCTTTCACCTCTTATGTATCATAATCGCTTGAAGTTCTGCTACTCGGTTAAATAGCGTGCGATCTAGTTTGAATACGGTCGGATAGTATCACTCTCTTGGAACGGTGTGAATAACGGTTCCATCACTTTTCAAGCCTGTTTGCTGCCGCAAACCGCGCATGTTGTTTGAGAAACTGTCAACAGTAGATTGCACTGAAGTTACCTAGATCCCCAAAAATGGCATGTTTGGCATTATGAAATAAATGAGAACAGGAAAGGACAAGAACGATAGATTAATCGGTCTGTAACTGAACCGTGTATGCATTACTCGGCTTCACCTATGGCGCATTATTAAAATATCCTGAGATTCGAGTATGATGATTTTTTCGGTCACACCCTTTTGTTTCGCGAAGTATGGTGAAGTTAATTTTTTGTTCGTTGTTGTTGTTGCTTTCAGTTTACGCGCATACTGCATCCCTTAACAAATTGCTCACTATCGAAGAATTTATCACCTCCGCTGGCCTTATCATGCTCCTCTCCGCACAATTCAAATAGTTGCTCAATAATATTGCCATTCTTTAATCCCCAAGTCCACCTTCGTGCAATCGGTCCCATTCCATACGAATAACTATCGAATTCCACCGCTTTTCTTTTGACCAATCGCCTAAACTGTCACACTCATTATCGCGGTTCCTTCGTTAGTTTTGTCAACGTTCAGGTCCGATCATACCCATTGGGGATTTTTAACCTCCTACTACTGCTTAACTAATCAAAGGAGGTCAACCACAATATAAGCCAATTTCTTTTGATATACTGAACGCATTCGTTCCCATGCTGAGTAACCGAGTCGAGTTGCTTTCGCTCCACTGGTTTTGTTTAGGCCGAAGTAAGTATATCTCGGTTCATTGGAGATCTCGACGCCAATACGTGTTTTCTGACACTCTGTTTTCTTCATCTTTTTCCTATTTCCCCACACCGATTAGCTTGCCCAAAAAGTCTTCAAAAGGTGCGACAACGGCTGTTAATCCACCATTAGATCACACGGTTTTGCAATCGGTAAGTCGTCTACCCTACCATATCATACCGCTACTATCTTGTTCCCTAAAGTGCAAATAAACTCAATAATAATAGAAACAACCTTACTTTTTTACTGATGACAAAATTCTTCAAGCAGCTTTTAGATAAGGAGTGGAATACTGTCGTTCAGGCGCTGACCGTGGGCGTACAAGGAAGAGGCTGAGTCGGGCAACAGCTTGAGATTCGAACTGTCTAGCTGCAAGTCGCTATGATATCGACCTTAGCCACTTTACCCTCGCCACGCCGCTCCTTTTACAGTCGATCCGTGGGAAGAGAGATACTCGCATGGATGAGCGTACTGTAAATCACAGCGAACGTTTTACACCCCTCCAACCCAGTTATGATCGCAGTAACTTCAAATAGTTTTGTCGATTAGTCTGAAATGTTCATTGTTTGAGCACATTACAGATGAATAATGTTAACCATCTCTGTTAAGCGGCTGTTTCTTGTAAAATAGTATAACTTGTCGGGACTCCCTATGGCAGACATTTCACGTGCTGGTTTCTACTCGGTGTCGTTTAGCTTCCACAAACGAAATTTCAGGATAGACCCAACCAAGGACTTTGCAATCATTCATTTCCCTGCACTGCTTTCTATTTTTTGTCAGCTATGTGCAGATAGCGTGAATAACGAGTGGCCGTTTTTAATCTGGTATGAGCAATACTGCATGTCACGGTTACTATTGCTAGCGAGATTTCGGCTAACCGTACAGAATCCCCATCACATCACACTGTTCACTGGGCGTTGCCACTGGCATCAAGCTGCACTTCCGACAGAACTCGCTTAATTCTACTCAAGCAATGAACACGCAGGGTTGTGCCTGACAGCTGCACAACAAAACATTGCACAGTATGGAACACGTCTGATCGAGGGAAATGGAGTGTATCGTTCGCGCTATGATGAAATGCGTGCTTCTTCATACTGTTTATTATCTAAATGTTTATATGTTACAGCGAATCACGTTAAATTCGAAACATGAATGATTTTGACACAAGACCGCATGTTCAAGTCAAATTTCTTGCGCACACAACTCTGCGGTTATATTCTGATTGCAAAATGATGCCATTTTATTATCCCGGACAGAATCTTTATGTCACTTTTTTCATTTTTACTCCCTTTTATTGAATACACAATGATACAATTTTCAGGAAGGAGAAACGGCCAATCGAAGGGCTGCCATAAAACATACAAATGGGGAAAGTCAGGCGGTGGTGATGGGATTCGAACACATCCCCAAGGTGATCGTTTGATGACAGCCGGACCATCACCGCCTAACATGACTCATCCAGTTCATAAGGGGGGGGGGCATCCTGGAAAGATTCTGTCTCAGTGTACCATTGTAACAATGTTTTCGTTTTTTAAACCAAAAGTAGTCGTGAAACCTAGCTCACTCATTTCCGGAGGACGTGCGTGGTTAAATGCACCCTGATATCACTAAATGTAACATGCAATCGAAGTATCTATGCAAACGACAGCTCATCTCTTTGAGCTATCCCTCATCCACATCAAAAAATAGTTTGAAACCGTAACAACCCAAAGGGATTCAGGCAAACAAAGTCACAATTGTAAAAAGATATTATTTCCTAGCAAACTGTGATCCGACGAGCAGTAGTTGGATAAATCCCACAGTCAGGAAAAGCAACTAATCCGTCGACAGCTATGGGACTTGGAGTGGGGAATTCCCCAAGGTACCAAATGGGCAGTATATAGCCTTCGCCTTGAGCTTTGTCACAGCTAGGCATCCTATCACCAAAACCGGGCGTTGGTGCCTTCACTGCTCGACCACACTCATCTATTCGTTTTTATAACAAATGCATTGTCATTATTACTTCCAGCAATGCAATTTGTTGTTAAAGGTGCTTTTGTACTCTAGAGATTGTCTGCCAAAATCAATAGGCAATGCTATACGAGAAGCATACCCCAAATATGCGTCCGAAATTCATCCCCATGATTTTGTATTGTTCGTTCACTCGTTCAACACATGTCTCGTCTGGCTTTTTGAACTTTATCTCTCAGCTCGTTGCACTTGTGGTACGTCCAGTCATATGCTTGTGTAACCATTGGGTTTTGTAAAGTAACTGCTCAACTAACCTTTGGTTAAATTCGGTTTTTCTCATCTCACTCGAATTTGCTTCATCCTTGTTTGAACCCAGAAGCGTATACATGTGTTCGTTTTGATTTGGTGTGTGTGTGTGTGTGAGTTCAGAACCTTAGCTAACTCCTCCTCGCCATTCTGATTTTGTCTATTTTTTATTTGAACATTGAAATTTTGATTGTCTAAGAAAACTGTACACCCTTTCCCAGCTCTTTTTTTGTTCTTTGCATCTTTTATCCGTATACTATTTGTTGAACTTTTAGCCTGAACGCAGTGTTACCATGGATGCACGAATACCGTCAAAAAACCGTAGTCAAACAGAATCTGTATCGTCTGCAGGTGGTTTGGTTATGGGTGGAACTGGTGGACATTTGACTGTACCTGTCACAAATGGAGTTAGTGGTAGTGTGTCCGCCGGTCTGACTGGACTAGCTCCGTTCAAAGCACACACTGAATCCGAATTGAACACAAACGATGGGATCGCCAATCTGCTCTCAGAGGAGGCAAACGAGTGTACACTGACTCGTATCCTGGAAATACTGGGCTCCACATCAGCCCTAATGGTTCCCACCTCGCACGCTACCAACGATCATCCGGTTGGGCGTGTTGGCTCATCCGGGTCCTCTATCTCTGTTTCCGCTATCCCATCCAATTTGGCGAAAAATGCAAACGCAGCCCCGGACGGAAACTGTTTGTCTGTTTCGCAACAACAAATTGCTCCGCATCTGCTGCTCACCGCATCCTCATCTGCTAATCAGGGTCCTGGAGCGACGAGCGCGACCACGACTAGTTCCACGTATAAAGTAGCGCTTGCGTTTACTGTGTTCTACCGACTTCACAATGCTCAGTTAGCTGCACTCAAAGTTCAACAGGCGAATGCGTTTCAGGACTTGCGGGAGGAATTAAATTCGATGAGACGGGAAAATTTGGATTTACAAAATGCTATCAACAATTTGACTGCCGAGTTGGGCGCGATTCGGGTGCGTGTTTTCTTTTTTCATTCATGGATGTTTTCTTCTGTTTTCCATTCTGTTCTGTTAGCTTTATGTAGTGAGAAAAGCAGTTACCAATGCATGAATTTTTGATCAACTCCGACTCCTCTTCCTGTTGTTACTCAAGCAAAAAACTGATAAATAGCATGCTGCATGTCCGCAACTGACTAAAAAGGTAGATCAGAGTTTTCTTAAGAAAGGCGGATGAAATTCACCGGTCGTTCTTCATCACGAACCCCTGTGTGTGATGAATAGCATAGTCACCAAAATCTAGTGTTTATTTATGGAAAATATCAGCCTCAGATCCAGAACAGCGGACGATATGGAGCCCTTAACAGAACAAACTTGGTGTTGATGGCAGGGTTTAAACCTCGAACCTTAACCGAAATCAGCTACTCAAACAGGTCGTCCTTCATAATAATTCAGATACTATCGTGGAAGGGTATTTGGTGGCTTGGTGGTTTAGTTGCTGTCACCGGCGTGCTTTGAACCATGTGGTCCAAGGTTCGAGCCCCGCCACCCAGTTTTGGTGTCGTCCGGTTCAATACCACGCCTATGCTAGCCGTACTTCATGTTGTTCGACACTCCAAGTCCCGGGACTTAGGTTGCCGTCTTCCATCACTGAATAGCAGTTCCTCGTGTTTATGGCATCCAGCCCGTCGGATGTTCATCACACGCATGTGCCACAGAAGAAAAGAAATAAGACGTGTGTTTTCTTATTCTGTCGTCTCTCGCACCCATCCGACACCATCGGCTTGGAGTGGTAGCTAATTAGAGAAAAGCAAATAACATAAAGTTTTTTATCTTGGACCGTAGCAGTCCAGTATCTGATTGATAACTGCCTGGCAGCTCTTTTGATATCAGCTTACCCGTAATAGTCCAATGGAAACGGCCATTGATACCTTATTGTCAAATTAAGTTAGGCGATCGTTAATCTTACACTATTACTAGTAGGCCTTTTGCTTGAATTTACAACTGATGTTGATTCCACAGTAGGCCGTACGCAACCTCTATACAACGCTGAACTTTAAATTCGCGGCGGTTTTGGTGGTTGATTTTTGGGTGTTCTTTTGTTTGAAGGGGAAAATGGAAAAAGTAGACAGTTGGGAACAGTTTCAGAGTAAGAATGCACCAAAGCTCAGTCTTGACATGGTGTGATGTCTTCGATGACTTTGTGACCCAGCGAGCTAGTTAACGGGGGTTTTTACAACTGGAGATCCTATCATGCCGGAAAGGTCAAACGATAGAAACTATACAAAGCGCAGCTTAATTAGATCACGTGATTGGGCACAAGCTGTCTTTTCCTTTGATCATACTTTTCCACCCCGGAAACGTCATTCCAGCAATTTAACATGGCAAGCAGCAACTTGACGGCCAAAAACCCCGCTGGGTCGACCTAGGAAAAGGACATCAGTGCATCTGACCATTCGACAGCTGCCGCCCGCCTCATCTAGGAGACTCAACTAGTTGGGCTCTGTCGTATTCACATTCTGTCTCTCTCATGGGCGCATGTGGCTAAAGGCCAATTTGGAACGGCATACACAACACCGTACCAAACATCAAGTCGATACTTGCTTTGCATGATTCATCTTCACGGGTGTTTCTGAAAAGTCCCCGGTTGGACCTACGCCCACTGCTTTCCAGGTCAGACTTTCGAGTCAAAGGCTTCTCTATTCAGTATTGCCTGAAAAAACCCTTCGTCATTGTGCGACACCATTAATTATGATATAACTAAGGACTCAGGCACGAATTTGTAAAAATCCCCGTGGCTGCCTTTCGGTTTTAGTTTGTACGACCATTAACCATGCATTTTCGTGTGCCGGTTTTTGTTGCTGCCTCATGACTGTTCATCTGGATACAGCAGTAGGAGAAAGACAGGAAATTTTAAATCAGAGTCGATGAGAAAATTGAGAATTTCAGTGGACTTAGGTTTGCAAGGAATTGGAGAAGATGAACGAACACCCCTGGTTACAACAATCAGCCATATCACTCGGTGCCCCGATATCACCAGTTCCTTTTCCTTGAATTTGTCCTCCAATTTCTCTGTCATTGTTACCAATCTACTTTATATGAATCATGTTGTTACGCATGTGGTTTGGAGTCGAGAATGGAATATGAGTATCCTTTCTCACATGTTATAAACTTCGCCATTGATCCTACTTTCTTTGTAAATAGAGTGCAGACTAGTGGGTTAAGTAATATCTGATAGGAAAACAAGTCTATCGCTTTTTTGGTTTGAGCGTCATGATATTCATTTCGATCCCCGCCGAGTCATTTACATTCTCTTCTGTTGCCTTCGCATGACTACAAAAGGAGCAACCAAATCGAAACCGCTTCAACACATTCCAAACCAATGCTCCTATTGATGAGCCTCGGAAAGAATGCAACTATGAGAAATCAAACCTAAGATGACTAGTAAAAATATACAGGGTTACTGCTTATCCGAAGAATATAGTCAATAGCTTCTTCAGGATCATGCAATACTTGCAATCTAGTCGTTGAAAGTATTGTATTCTATCCATGCAAAAGTCCGACAGACCTTCCGCGTAAAATGCGTTGGCCAAAACTGCAGTTTGTAGCGTGGTTTAAAGAGCACGACGACCGACCGTTTTCCCATCTTATCCTCAGTGCATAATGCGCTCCTTGCGAATGCCTATCGCATACGGGCTTTTGCTAAGCCTAATCTTTGTTGCGTATTTCCTTTGGCATGCTCAGTTGCACATAGGCTGTTTAAGCACATGTGGATTGCATCACTGAACAGCAGGTCCTCGTGACTATTGGGTTCGCCCCATCTGCTGTTCATCACACAAAAGTGTGTAATAAAAAATCAGTATTTTCTTTTTAATACACCTTGATATGTAGGGCGTAACTGATTGACCCTATGGCTCTGTCCCCAACCAATATATGATGCACAGTAACTATGTCCAGTGGGATTGTCGCTTTCATCGTTTGAATCCATCACTAAATATTGGATCTACGCTCGCTGGTGGACCGATGCAACCAGAATGCCATTCCTTCCGGAGATCCTTGAAATCACAGTTTCATCGAGTGTCTCTCCCTCGTCAATCATTTTCAAAAACAATGGAATTCACGTAGTTTCTATCAATGCGTGATACGTTGCGAGTAACGAATGAATGAACAAACATCAAGCTTACGTGGGCACCAGTTTTCCGATATGTAAGTCAAACAAGTTGTCAATAGGATAGGTGCCTCGTTCATCCGGCGATATTGCGGCCATTCTTAGCCGGGAGGAATGGCTACAGCGAGGTTACGAGCCTCTGATATCCGTCCAGCTCACGCCAATGACAGGAACTCGAATCGCCTCACCAATACCAATCATTATATTAATACCAAGCACTAAATACATGCAAACTAGCTGCCCTAAGAAAATTTGGCAAGTGCTCGCCATGTATTAGGAATTGTCTGAACTGAAAATGTGTGAGCAGTTTATGCGCCAAGCAATTTCACTAACCCTGATCTAATATCAGAAATAGAAATTAACTAATTTTCCCTCGGTTTCTATGTTTACTTGAATGCCATCGTGCCAACGCGTCTGCTTTTTATTCAGACTCACGAATAAACTGGAGCGTGTTATTAAGTACCTATTTAGTTTCGCGGTGCGTTCCGCACAAACTAACACACTCGGGCGTACATGTGTACACTCATCTGAGATTTCGCATATTCCAGTCAACTAGTCTACGATGCCCGTCTTGTTCTAGACAGCATATTGATTACTAATGAACGTAATTCATACTAAATTCCAGGCGGCCGGCTTTGATTTATTCTATTTCATCCAAGTACAGTTTTTGCAATTCTATTGATGAATTTTAAACTAACTGCACACCGGATTCCATACCGTATTGAACTCAAACTCCAGAATTCATATGTCTGGGAGTTGAATTCGTCTCCGGGGTCTGTTGTTCCAACACTTTGTGTCTGAAAATACTCATCGGTACCGCCTGGATTTGACCTTAGCACTGATTCGCGCGCGCGTTGTCGCATTTGGTCAATAGCGAGTTTTGAAAGTACAGTCTCGTTTTCGTGCCCGTCGAACCGGAATCGCATATGGGCTTTTCATTTGCACATCAGTTACAGATATGCACAGCATCGTTCAGTATAAATGCGCACGAGCGCATGAACACGCGCGCATTTATTGGCGATAACTCTGGGACATTTCCTCACTAGGTCACCTACCCACCCCTCAAATCAGGATCCTCTCTTTATTGCCCGCGCACCTGCCACCGTATGTATGTATTCCAGTCACTCACCGGATTTAGTCCGAAAGGACCACACTTACACAAATACACACACGCACTCAAAAAAGCCTCGACCCGCGCAACCGATGAGACCGGATTTCCCAAGTTCAAGTTTGGTCACAACAGTAGCTTTGATCCGCCTACGTATATTTGTTTCGTATCAATGTGGTATAGTTTTATCGGAAATGCTTGCACAAATACACCATCTGATTTCGCTTCATCGAGATATTATCGTTGTTGTAAAAGCATCACGTTTTTGCTTTTAAAGTACACGGACGAGGGTAGAAACACCGGACTACTGAGCAACATATCTGTTCCGGCCGTTTATCGATAAACTCACTCATTTTGATTGGTTCTCGCAGAAAGGAAAAATCAAGGTTAAATAGATTTGTTGATATCGGTAAAGTGTATCAATGAAATTAGGGTTTATTTTTCCTCTATTCTTAAACTGATTAAAATTTATTTTAAAAAATATCGTCTCGGATTTAGCCTGTGTCTATCTAGTTATCGACAGACAAGCGTTCAATATCGTTGATTGAAAATGTTCTATCTGATAACTTCCCAACTGTTATAATCTCATCTAACAGAACTGCGTTTGTGGGCGTTTTACGATCGTCCATCTGGGCACACTTTTGGAACAGTTTAACATTAGGTGATCATTTTAATATCCTCTGTGCAATCACTTCTCTGAAGTGGAAATAATCCTGGTCGATCGACATCACTGACCTCAAGGTCCTCTGTGTGTGTAGCAGAACGCATGAGCTTTTGCAAAATATCAAATAAAGTTGATGCTGGGCTCATGAATCTTGTTCTGCTGTTGCACAATTTCTCATGTTGGTTATCTTCTGAACGATTAACTTTGATCAAATTATTGATCGTCTGTGCTAGTTCGCGAAACAAACGGTTTTTTGGTGATGGACCATCGTTCGGTTTGCCCGGACTGTATCGACAAATTGACTTGGGCACCACTGGTCATGCGATCAGAATTTTACCGGCATAGTTCCCTGATACTGACGATTGCGACTCGTGCAAGCACAAATTTGTTTAATCCTCTCCACATCAGATGGGCTGTGCGCTTGGTCCTTTCTATTGGGTCATTCGATGGTCAATAGTGAAAAGTGCTCGTTGCCTTGTTTCATCAAACCAACCTTTCACGTTCACAGCAATTCAGTCCAATTGAGTCGTGTACCATATCGTAACTGTTCTTTCTTTGGATAGATCCAATGGAAGTCAATCAATGGTGGTTGCTTGATTTACGTTTAATTATTTTTTTTAGAGTATCAAGCTTGAATTAGCCCATTCGATTGTTCAGAGGCACCAGGTACTCTTGATGGTCTTGGGTGTGGGTTTCACTCCTTGAGAGATCGTTAGTTCCCCACGAGATAATGCATGCAAAATGCGATGGAAATGTTTACGATAACCAACAAGGAGCACTAGACAGCTGTTTCGTCCCGTTTGGAACTCGTCAGCAGTGCGTACTTTTGTGTCCCTGTCAGGACTCGAACCGCGATCAGTCAGGTCGGAACTTCAAACACTTACTCCTGAGCTACACGGTCGACGGTCTTCACCTTGTGCGAATGGCTCAATCAATTTAGAGTATCAAGCTTGGGTTAACCCATTCGATTGTTCAGAGGCACCAGGCACTCTTGGTGTTCTTGGGTGTAGGTTTCACAAACATTTCCATCGCATTTTGAATGCATTATCTCGTGGGGAATTAACGATCTCCCAAGGAGTGAAACCCACATCCAAGACCAGTTATTTTTTGTTTTTACCGCGATGATAATAATCACGCGATCCAAGTTTCTGTCACCGACAGTCTCTTTAGTCTGCAAAATTCATGATTTGAAATGCGTCTCTGCCAATCTGTTTAAGCGGTAGACCACCTGGCCTCATTTTTATTGTAAAGAGGTTATCCTCTTTTCGCTCCTTACACGACTCCTCACGTTAATGTTCGCACCTCTCATCTCACGGATCAGACAAATACCTCATCCTTAGCCTCAACTGTGGGGAGAAAAACAATACAGATTTTACTCATTTGAAGGACAAGCGTACATACCGATCAGTTAAGGACGAACTGATCGACTTTCCAGTATGACCGCGATCTTAATTGACTGACTGTTCAGTTGAATCTTTGTGGCTGATAAGCTCAATTACGGTCTAATCTGGTCCACTAAGTCGATCGTGTGATGCACATGCTGGTCGCCTGTCCTCCTTATTTGTGCTTGCTAATGTTTCATCCTAACAATTTCGCCAAGTCCATGGTCTGAGTGTCTACCCTACCTTCCAGCCAATTTTACACTAACGTTTCAACAGATGAAGGTCTGTTAAATAGACACCGCGGATAGCTCGTAACCCATTGGATTCACCTATGTGGATAAGCAAACCACGCTGGTATGAGCTTAAGAACGTGTGAATGGTTCTGCCCTCCTCCCATGACTCTATTTCACTCTTGCTTTATTTTGCTCAAGTCAGTGCTCGTATTTCCAATTCCTAATGTTGCCCAGTGGATAGTTTCTAAACTTTCCACTCTACGCTGCTCCATCTTATGCAGTTCATTAGCATTTTATTTGTGACCTACCATGTATATGCGAATGGAGTGGTACATTTCGACCATCTGAATTTCTTATGTATTGGTTATAATTCAGTCAGTCGGTGGTCTGTGTTATAACTGGTCTTGTAGTGGATTGCTATTCCGTTGTTTTTCTCTGTCTGACTTTTCTCCGTCACCCACGTGCATCCAAGCGACTGGAAATCGTGCTGAAACGCACACTGCCCGAACTCCTACTGGTTCCACCCCGTTAGGTTTAACTGCATAAAATACGTTGCAACCAAGCTTAGTTCTGGTTCGCCGCACTCTGTTTTTAACCGCACAGGATTTCCCATCTCGTATTCGGTTGGTGCGATTCTCGTGTCTTAAGTTGTTTATTCTCCTAATCTAGTGAGCGATTTCCACCTATCTATTTTGTCCTATCCTACTACGTGTACCATTGATTGTTCTGCCCTCCTACTTTTCTGAATTCGTTCCTGATCCTGAATTGGGAAACTAAGTTTCCAATCAAATATATATGCAATCTGTTATAAGTTGCGTAACACAGTCTTGGTTTCTATCCTGAGGTAACCGCCCAGATCAACAAATACATGAAAATTAATGTGACCGTCTGACCGAACTCAGAGAATAGGATATGAGATAAACCTAGTGTCTGGGGTGATGGTAATTGCACGCATCCAGTTACGTTTCTCACTTTCTGTTAAATCATTCTTGTGGATTCGAGCCCGTCATCAAAATGGTTTATATAGTTGTCATATTATCCGAATAGATGAAGATAAACTAAGGTAATTATCCACACTGCCTCGATAGCTGCTCTATGTGGCCATGTATTTTCCAAGTTACGAAATCAAAATTTTCTGTTTTGGTGAACAACTGTGAACAAACTGTTAATAATCTAAACGCTGACGTATTATAGTTTGTGCTCACGTATTCGAGATCCTATAGCTGTAGATGTGTGTGTGTGTGCCTAATCCATCATTTTGTTATTTTTCCATTTTTTCGCCACCCATCATCCCCTTCGTGGGTATAATTGTCTGTATCGTCGACAACGATAACAAAAACAAAATGCAGCGAGATGCACACACCCGTGAGGAACTGCAGAACCAAAAATTGTCCAATGCGACAGCGCGTATCGAGCAGTTGGACGCCACCTCGGAGCAATCTAGGCAATCTCTGCAACACGATATAGTCAGCTTACGTAACGAGTTTCGGGACGGGCTTTATTCGCTGGAATATCAACTGACCACCAAAACTCGGGATCTCAGTGACAACATTGCCACCATATCAAACAAGGTAAGGGTGTGTATATGTCTAACTAACTAACTAGATGATGCGTTTTACATCCATATCCTTTCAAAAGCGGGTAGTAGGGATTTCGGGGTTGGTCAACTGGCATAACTAACCTTCTTTGCCTGTATAAGTGCATTAGTCGAATAGTGATTTTTTTCTGTGCAAGTATAAAGACCACCTGTACGACAAACACTATTTTACCCTTACACAGCTAACTGGTTTCCACCAATCGCTGTGGATGCTTTGTCCTTGACCTTAACTATCCGTTTTGTTCGCTCATATTGCACGGTCAAATATTGGTGTTGAACCCATTGGAATCGTGCACATTTCCAGTTATATACATACAAAAATTAAACAAAATAATATCTGTATCACGTGAATTCTTCCCCATCCCCTTTACCCTCCTCTGTAAACTCGTTACTCCAAAACGCACTCTCTTTATGAGCTTCCAAAGGACCTCTATTATTTATCTCGGTCTAACACTGCATCCAAATCATACGAACCCCCTTCGTAGTGTTACTTTTTACATTACCAAGATCGGTCATTATCTCACACTTCTCTCCTGCCTTCCAATCCTGTTGCACTCTTGTTCACACACTCACACAGATGAGTATAATCGAGAAGCCGTCGGAACACGGTGTGTCCAGTAGTGCGAACAACTCCGAATTGGCCCGAATTCGACACAAAGTGCTGCACTATCTGACCGATTTGTGCGTCTCCCTGTTCGCTTTACTGACCATGCTGCTCCAGGTCATCATTCGGTGTTTAAATATGGGCGCAATGGTCACCGAGAATCGGTACGTTTTAATTGCTATTGGTAATTCTTGTTTCTCTTTTTTCGTACAGAGTGTTGTGTTCCTGCTCTTTGTCACACATTTGGGCTACTGCATACTTTAGGCTCTTATGCAGTTCGTTCCTTCGGAGGATTTAATCCATTTCCATAATGTCTATCGGGAATAGGGTAGCAATTGATGTTCAAATCGTGTATAATTCTGGGTCACACATTTGAATGGCCACATATTTCGCACGTCTGAGACTGTGTCAAACAAATAACATTGTACTGGTCTTTATAAAAAAAACTAAGTTCTGATCCCAAACAGT